AATGGTGCTGTGATTACGGATGAAGGCCGTACACTTTTTAGAGCTGCCAGGAAAAATGATTTGTTCGTCTTCGATGCTCAACCTGTAAGTAACCAAATTTTTTCTATTAATACTTCCGATAGTCTATGGCATAGAAGATTTGGCCACCTAAATTATCAAAGCCTGAAAGAGTTATCTTCTAAGAATTTGGTCAATGGCATGACATTCAATTCACACAGTGGCGAGAAATGTGATGTGTGCATGATTGGGAAAATCCACGCTGCATCTTTTCCCAAACAATCGGAGAGAAAATCAAAGGAACTGCTTGAAGTAATTCATTCCGACGTATGTGGTCCAATGAAAGTTGATTCTGTAGGTGGATCAAAGTACTTCGTGACATTTATTGATGATAAATCCCGCAGAATATTCACATATTTTATGAAGAAAAAGTCAGAAGTTTTTCGAAAAGTTTAAGACATTCAAAACCATGGTGGAGTTGCAAACTGGTTGCAAAATTAAAGCATTAAGAAGCGATAATGGTGGAGAATATCTTTCCAACGAATTTAACAAGTACCTTGAAACTAATGGAATTAAACGACAATTAACTGTTCCCTACACCCCACAACAAAATGGTGTAGCAGAGAGAGCAAATCGTACATTAGTTGAAATGGGACGTTGTCTTCTTATTGAATCAGGGCTTGATCAAAGATTGTGGGCCGAAGCGGTTGCTACTGCAACATATCTAAGAAATAGAAGTCCGTCAAAAAGTTTGGAAAATACTACTCCAATGGAGGTATGGTCTGGGCGGAAACCAAGTGTTAATCATTTGAGAGTTTTTGGTTCTAAAGCTGTTGCGCTGAACAAAAACGCAAGAGGAAAATTTCAAGAAAAAGGCGAGAAAATGGTCATGGTTGGATACTCATTAGTGTCTAAAGCCTATAGGCTCTACGATCCTAAATCTGAAAAAGTTATGGAAAGACGGGACGTCATTTTTGATGAAGATAAGGCATTAGAAAAATCACAAGAGCAAACACCAGAATTGTATTTTTATGTGCCACCTGAAAATTTTGAATCTCTGGAATCTACCGAAGTGGAAGAAACACAGGAAATGAATATAGAACTCAATGATGAACATTCAAGTTCGGATGACAATTTTCAAGATACAGAAGATTTTTTCGGATTTACTTCTTCAGATGAGCAAGAAAATCCTGAACCTGCAACTGTTCAAAGAGGAAGAGGTAGACCAAAGATTATTAGAACTGGTAAACCTGGTCGACCCCGAAAAGAACATAACTTACTGAATAATGTGGTGGAGGATGGTATTCCTAAAACGTATAAAGAAGCAATATCCAGTAAATTATCTGCTAAATGGAAACAAGCCATGGAAAATGAAATGTTATCACACCATCAAAATAATACGTGGACAATGCAAGATCTTCCGCATGGATGTAAGGCAATCAATTGCAAATGGGTTTTTGCAATCAAGAAAAATAGTAAAGGACAGGTGGAGCGGCATAAGGCACGGCTAGTCGCTAAAGGTTGTAGTCAGAAATTCGGCATAGACTACAATGAAACATTTTCGCCAGTGGTAAGATATTCCACTATTCGAATGTTACTTGCATTAGCGGTAGAACACAAAATGCATTTACATCAACTAGATGTAGTCACGGCGTATTTAAACGGAGAATTGCACGAAGAAATCTATATGCGTCAGCCAGAAGGATTTATCGATGAAAAAAACAAAAATAAAGTTCTGCGCTTAAACAAATCCCTTTATGGCCTTAAACAAGCGGGTCGGGAATGGAACTTAACGCTAAATAACTTTCTGTGCAAGATAGGATTTCTCAGATGTGACAACGAACCTTGTATGTATAAATCAAATCGAAACGGTCATTTGATGTTAATAGCTGTCTATGTGGATGATTTAATAGTTGGATGTGAAAATGAAAACGAAATTTTGAAACTTAAGGAAGAAATTGCAACCAATTTCGAAGTGACTGATAAAGGACTGTTAGAGCACTTCCTGGGAATGGAGTTTCATCGAGATGGAAAAACCGGTGAAATTAAAATATCTCAAACTAATTTCATAAACGAAATGTTAAAGGAGTACGGTATGGAGAATTGTAGACCAGTTTCAGTGCCACTGACTCCTGGTTTTCAGAGTAATTGTGAAGGTGAATGCAGGAAAATAGATCCCACCGAATACCAATCTTTGATCGGTTCCCTGCTTTACTTGGCTCTGACAACTCGCCCTGATATACTCCATTCAGTTACCAAGCTTTCGCAAAGAAATGCGGATCCACACTTAGAACATTGGACAGCAGCAAAACACATTCTAAGATATTTAAAAGGTACTAAAGATATGAAACTTCACTTTAGTTGTGGAAATGGCAAACTCATTGGTTACGCAGATGCTGATTGGGGAGGATGTACTACAGATAGAAAGTCATATTCTGGATCAGTATTTTTTATTGGAAATTGTGTGATTTCTTGGGAATCCAAGAAACAAGATACTGTCGCTTTGAGCAGTACCGAAGCAGAGTATGTGTCAACTTCTAACGCATCGAAGGAAGCTGTATATTTAGGTCGATTACTTCACGAACTGGGATTTCTGCAAGAAAACTGCGTTCCTATCAATGTCGACAATCAAGGTGCTTTGCAATTGGCATATAACCCGGTTCATCATAAACGGACAAAACATGTGGACATCAAATACCATCACATAAGAGATTTAATAAAATCAAATACAATAAAATTGGTTTATTGTCCAACGAATGATATGGTTGCCGACATATTTACAAAAAACCTAGCAAAGTCGAAACATCAAAAATTTGTCAGTCTAATCAATTTGAAGTAAATCAAAACGTGAAGAATATGCATGTTGTGGTGGAGTGTTGGAAAAACACTTTGTTTGAAAATACTTTGTTTTAATTTATTTCAACAAACATATTCTTCTTTGAAAAGCTTTGTGATTTTCTAGTTTGAAAATATCAAACAATTTAATTGTATAAATTGTCTTGTTCTGAATTTCAATTTGTTAACAACAATTTGTTTCTTAATAAATATTCTATAAAATTGAATATCGTTGTGCGTTCCGCTTAAAAGGCAGATATATACGGGGAAATCTTTCCGATAATAAGAAGAGGAAAAACTATATATTCCCAATATGGTAGGTCCTTAAAAATAATTTTTAAAAAATCCACGCCTTATGGTAGGTCCTTAAAAATAATTTTTAAAAAATCCACGCCTTATGGTAGGTCCTTAAAAATAATTTTTAAAAAATCCACGCCTTATGGTAGGTCCTTAAAAATAATTTTTAAAAAATCCACGCCTTATGGTAGGTCCTTAAAAATAATTTTTAAAAAATCCACGCCTTATGGTAGGTCCTTAAAAATAATTTTTAAAAAATCCACGCCTTATGGTAGGTCCTTAAAAATAATTTTTAAAAAATCCACGCCTTATGGTAGGTCCTTAAAAATAATTTTTAAAAAATCCACGCCTTATGGTAGGTCCTTAAAAATAATTTTTAAAAAATCCACGCCTTATGGTAGGTCCTTAAAAATAATTTTTAAAAAATCCACGCCTTATGGTAGGTCCTTAAAAATAATTTTTAAAAAATCCACGCCTTATGGTAGGTCCTTAAAAATAATTTTTAAAAAATCCACGCCTTATGGTAGGTCCTTAAAAATAATTTTTAAAAAATCCACGCCTTATGGTAGGTCCTTAAAAATAATTTTTAAAAAATCCACGCCTTATGGTAGGTCCTTAAAAATAATTTTTAAAAAATCCACGCCTTATGGTAGGTCCTTAAAAATAATTTTTAAAAAATCCACGCCTTATGGTAGGTCCTTAAAAATAATTTTTAAAAAATCCACGCCTTATGGTAGGTCCTTAAAAATAATTTTTAAAAAATCCACGCCTTATGGTAGGTCCTTAAAAATAATTTTTAAAAAATCCACGCCTTATGGTAGGTCCTTAAAAATAATTTTTAAAAAATCCACGCCTTATGGTAGGTCCTTAAAATTAATTTAAAAAAAAATCCCCTAAAATACTTACGCAATTGTGGCCATATATCCATCATACTATTATTCCACAGGCTCATATCAAATTCTGCATCGGAGGGAAATAGTACAGCCTCCTGCACCAGTGGAGGCTTCTTACTTGCCGACATTGCCACCAAAGGTATAAAGGGACAACAATGATAAGCATAGGACAAGATCAACGTTTGAATACGAGGAAATGTTTCCGGCGAAGGGAAATCACGTAATTTTGGATTATTAAAGGTTTTCAGATGCAACAGCCTTTGCAGGCCATTCGATGGCAGTTCGGGAAAGATGTTGTTGCCCAAATTCAAATCCTCCAGCGAGGAGAAACCCACAAAGGCATCTTTGTGGATATACGATATTTGATTACCTTCTAGGTCTCTAGAAAAAATATTTTTTTTAATAAAATTATTTAAATTTTCAGATTTGAACAAAAAACCGGTTATAAGCAAATAAATATTCGGATATAAGTAACTGGGTTATAAAAAATATATCATATCATACACCAAAATCAATTTAAAAATAGTTTTAGCTTAAAATTTTGATTAATATGTTATATATGAAAAAAAAAAATCGGATATAAGAAACTCTCTTATAAGAAAAATTCGGATATAAGAAACATGGTTTGAAATGATTTTTAAGCTAATTTTAGTACAAAAAAAAAAATTTTAGTTTTTATTTTTTTCTTATAACCGTTTTTGTTACCAAAAAATATCACTCACAATAATTGTAATTTGGCTATGCCCTGAAAGGCATCATGAGGTATTGTTTTGATGTGATTATATGATAATAATAAATCATGTAATTGTTTTAAGCCTTGGAATGGACGTCCTTGTAAATTGTCTATAAGGTTGCTTGATAAATCTCTAAGAAAAAAATACAGTAAAAAATGATTAAAAATTCGCTTAAATGAAACTCCGGGGTCATGTGGCTACTTACAACAGTCTCAATTCTCTGCAATGTGCTAATGTGGGAATGGTTCGTATGGAATTGGTTTTTAGCTCTCTGGAAAAATAATAAAAAATAAAATTTTTAATATACTAGCAAATAAGTACGTTTCCAACATGTTTGATCAAGCATCGAACCTCCAGTTTTTCTCGATTTTACTTACAAACTTCTCAGTCTTGGTGTTTGATGGCATAAATTTCCTGGTACTTCCACAATACCAGCTCGATCCAATTTCAATATCTCCAACGAATAGCTACCCTCTAAATCGGGAAATATTTTTAGGAAACGTACATCCGAGAGGATCCTATAACGAAGTACAAAATATATATACTTGAAATATAGAAATACTTTTTACTTACAATTTCCTTAACTTCGCCATGCCTTTTAATGCCCCTGGCATAATTTGTGATATGGGATTTGCACGCAAATCCAAAGTTTGAAGCGTCTTGGGAAGATCGGTATCGTTTATCCATCGCAGCCGGTTACTGGTGGCTGAACTGCAATGACAAGAAACACGAAAAGGTATCAAGACATTAAAAATCATTGAAGGACATAAATATTTTTGTAAAACTAAAAAAAAAAACAGTAAGGAAAGTAGTAAAGTCGGACGGGGCCGACTATATGATACCCTTCACCACTATGGGTATATTAAACAGGACTATTAACATGAAATTGGATGAAATAAAATATGTGATATTTATCTAAATGTGAATCTACCTAGATCTATCCATAAAGTATGTAAATCGACTTCAAACAAATATAAATAGGTCATCCGTTGGGCTATGTCTGTCAAATTTCGTGCAAATCGAAAGATATATAGCGACTTTGGTCCACCATTTACATGAAATCGGACGAAACTATACATGAGAGCTATATCTAAATCTGGACCGATTTTCTCGAAACTTGGCAGACATAATTCTAGGCTCAATTCAGTACGTTATGCCAAATTTGGTGCAAATCGAAAGATATATAGAGACTTTGGAGCACCATTTACATTAAATCGGACGAAACTATATATGGGAGCTATATCTAAATCTGAACCGATTTTCACGAAACTTGGCAGACATCATTCTAGACCTAATTGATTAGGATGTACCAAATTTCGTGCAAATCGAAAGATATATAGCGACTTTGGTCCACCATTTACATGAAATCGGACGAAACTATATATGGGAGCTATATCTAAATCTGGACCGATTTTCTCGAAACTTGGCAGACATCATTCAAGGCTCAATTCAGTACGTTATGCCAAATTTCGTGCAAATCGAAAGATATATAGGGACTTTGGGGCACCATTTACATGAAATCGGACGAAACTATACATGGGAGCTATATCTAAATCTGGACCGATTTTTTCGCAAATTGGCAGACATAATTCTATGCTCAATTCAGTACGTCATGCCAAATTTGGTGCAAATCGAAAGATATATAGGGACTTTGGAGCACCATTTACCTGAAATCGGACGAAACTATATATGGGAGCTATATCTAAATCTGAACCGATTTTTTCGAAACTTGGCAGACATCATTCTAGGCTCAATTCAGTACGTCATGCCAAATTTGGTGCAAATCGAAAGATATATAGGGACTTTGGAGCACCATTTACCTGAAATCGGACGAAACTATATATGGGAGCTATATCTAAATCTGGACCGATTTTCACGAAACTTGGCAGACATCATTCTAGACCTAATTGATTAGGCTGTACCAAATTTCGTGCAAATCGAAAGATATATAGGGACCGTTTACATTAAATCGGTTAAATATATATATGGGACCTATATCTAAATCTGAACCGATTTTTCCCAATTTCAATAGGGTTCGTCCTTGGGCCGAATAAGTGACCTATGCCAAATTTCATCTAAATCGGATTATAAATGCGACCTGTACTTTGTTTACAATTTAACACCAACAGACGGACAGACGGACGGACATGCATAAATCGACTCAGAAAGTGATTCTATGCATATTCTCAAAAGGAACTATGGGTCTATCTCGTTTCCTTTTGCCTGTTACAAACATATGCACAAAGACATAATACCCTGTACCACAGTGTGGTGAAGGGTATAAAAATATCACGCCTATTGGAGGTCCTTAATTTTTTTAAATCACCCCGTTTAGGTGTCATTAAAAATATTTTTAAAGAAATCACGAAACAATATTTTAAAACCAGTGAGCGGAGCAGTATAGTCTGACGGGGCCAACCATATGATACCCTACACAACTTCTATGGAAATCTTACTTTCTGTGGTTCTTTATTCTGAGCTTGGATAATATTTCACGATATTTACACCCTCTTGACCGACTAGAGGTCAACAAATATTATTATTACTAACATTCAGTACAGCCCTTCTAATTACTTGTCCAGATTCCCTTCACCGTGGGTTGTGTTGTGATGTTCGGCCTTTAGTTGTGGCCTAAAGATCGACTGGAAAAACACACAAAAAGTTTTCGGTCGAATTCATCCTAATATTATTATCTGATCATCGCCGAAAATTGTAGACGTTGTCCTCGTTTCTACGACAGAGGGTTCTACGATCCGAAACGACGCGAGCCTTACTCGGCCAACGTCTGTCACCTCAGCCCATTGTGAAACAGCAATAGGGCTGCTACAACAACAACATGGAAAATTTCAAAGCGATCAGAGCTTTATATCCGCCCTCTATTACTATATAATATCAGAAGACGTAAGCACCTGTAAATATTTAAGTGTAACTCCCACATCCGAGTACATACGACAATATAATTGGTATTAAATTAAAGATCAATCACTCCTCTTGGATATACATCTCGGGTACTTCAGAGGTAAATATATACGCTACAGAATACTAATTTTGTCATTTTTCACACAAAAGTAAGGTTCATTTAACCCGCTAAATATTGAGCGATCTTTATCAAAAAATGCATGCTTATACTTTAGCCCGATCCCCTTCTCCATGTAAAAATTCGCGATGTTTGGGCCATAATTGTGGCCTCTGAAGCGACCAGATATTCAGAAAAAATTAAGTTTTTGGTCCATTTCATCCCCTAAATATTAACCGATCTTTAACAAATACAATAGGGGTCTTCATTGGGTGGAACCCTTCCTACATACAAAATTTCGTGAAGATTGGTTCCTAACTGTGGCCTGTATCGTGTTTACAAATTATAATGGACAGACGGACGGACTGATGGAGGGACACACATGTCTAGATCGACTCAGCTAGTCGAGATATGACGATCGGTATACTTAAAGGTGGGTCTAGGACCAATATTTCGCGGCGTTACAAACTTTTGGGGCTTCACAAAGCTGTAATAACCTGACAACATAGTTAAGTGATCGATCGATTAATATTTAGTTGATGAAATGGACCAAAAACTGTATTTTTGCATGGTGGCTCTAGATGCCACAAATGTGATTTACACAGAAAAAAGGGGTCTGATCAAGGAACAAGTATGACTCTTTTAATGATAATCTGCCAATATTTTGCTCGTCAAATGGGCACAGACTTTTGTGTGAAAATTCTACCTCATTAGAGGGCGCAAGTGTAGCGCTGATGGCTTGAAAATTTTGCATGAGGTTACGGTTATGGTTAAGAATACCGCCTATAATTTTCGATGATATTCAGATGATATTTCGTGAATGAAATCGTCAGAAAACTTAATTCTTGTTGTTGTAGCAGCTATGAGGCTGAGGTTACAGATATTGTCCGAGAAAGACTCGGTTCGTTTCGGATGGTGGACCCGTCTGTTGTGGAAACGCTTAATTCTTGTCGCTGTAGATGACACAAGAAAAAAACAAATTTTCCGTGAGGAAGTCGATCTGACTACTTATTCGAATGACTGTCTTGAGCAATATAGTAAAATATTAAAATAACAAAATTTGAATCTTAATGTAGCCACAGAAGAGCTGATCGGTCCAAAAGGTGCAAATATCGTGAAATATTACAAAGGTTCGGAATAAGGATCCACAGAAACTCAGTTGTAGTTGTGTAGGGTGTCATATGGCTCCGTCCAATTATACTGCTCTGCGCACTGGGCTCGAAATTGAGTGGAATACTTTTGGGGGGTTTGTAAAAGTCTGCAATTTCTTAGAATATTTTTTGGAGACCTATAAGAGTGTGCGTATTTTAAAAGAATATTTTTAAGGGTCATAGGAGGCCTATATTTAGATATATAGTTTATAGACATGTTTAGGATATTTTTTGGTCTTTTGGAAGGCCTATACGAGTCTGAAGTTTTTTATGCCATTATTTTTGTGGGGGCTATAAACATGGAATATTTATGGGCAGGCCATAAGAGTCTGGCATATTTAAGAATATTTTTGGGGGCCCATAAGTTTTATAGATGGACACATGAGAGTTTAGAAATTGTGTAGAATTTTGCAGTCTGGAATTACTTAGAATATATTTGAGAGGCCTATTTAAAAAAATAGAGTCTTAAAGAGTCTGGGATTATTTTTGAATATTTTTGCTGATCTATAGGCGGGCATTTTTTAGGATATTATTTTTGAATTCTGAAAGTTTTTAGGATACAACAAGAGTCTGAATGTGTTATGACCCATGCCATAAAATTCTGGAATTTTCTTAGAATAGTTTTGGGGGAATTTGTAGAAGGGCATTTGAGATTCTTTTGGTAGGATATTTTTGGGGCTCTATAAGTGTCGGGAATTATTTAGAATATTTTTTTGGAGACCTATAAAAGTTTGCGTATTATTGATGAATATTTTTGATATCCCTTAAAAGTGTGGGATTTTTATAGAATATGGTTTGCCGACGCTTGTCTGTTTCTTTGTTTTGGAAGTCTAAGTTCTAAGATGTGTGATTTTTTTGAGTCTTATTAGGGTCTGGAATTTTGTCGAAGGTCTTATTAAGTGGAAATTCTGCCTAACAAAATGCTAAAATACTGTCTTTCCGTGGGTACAGCTCCCATATGGGGGTCAATCAACTTTATAGGTGGCCATAGTCGCATTTTCCGAACGAAGTGACTGTTTTAAGAAATATTTTTTTGAAAATCTTTTAAGCGTTTGGAATTTTTAAGGAATGTTTTTTGAGTTCTTATTACATTGCAAGTCAGTCTAACAAAAATTTAAAATATCGGGTTTTATTTGGGTATAACACCCATATGAAGGTCGTTTTGCGTATTTTGATCGTCCTGGTGGCATTTTCCAACCAAAGTTACTTAATTTTAACATTACGAGGAATCGGAAATCGACATTCCCGGACTTGGTGGTTAAATAATTTCTTTACTGAAATTGTCAACATTAGTCCATGTTTCAACAAAGCCTCCCGTCAAAGGTGACACGTCATCTTCGGTATGTTAGAGGTCATGGACCGATTTGTTTTCATCCTGAGTGCCTCTAGTTTGATATTTCTCCTGGCAGCAATACAAAAACATCCGATCCCAAGTTTAGGAATTTTAAATAACCACCTCATGGTGGAGGGTATTAAATGGTTGACATAGAATCGCTTTCTGAGGCAATTTATAAATGACCGTTTATCATCCTGTCAGTTGATGT